GGTAACGCAGACCCCAAGTTTATATTTTTAATTAAAATTAATATTTTATTAAAATGACAATTTTATTTTTGGGTGCCTAATCACACTCTAATCAAAGATTGATGGCGACTCTTCGAACTGTATGCTTTATTTTAAAAAAGGAATCCTAAATTTTTCGAAATGAGAGATTTTTTAAATCACATTCAATTTAAATTTAAATTTAATTTGAAGATAATAATTAAAAATTAGTGTAGTTTTTAAAATTTCATCCGGAAAAAACCTGTTTCGACATATTGTTCTTTAATGAATTAGGTCTCGGTACGGGACTCCTCTTACACGCAATTCTCAAAGGGGCCGAAGTGAAGAAAGCATCCATACTTCGATGGTTGAAACAACGTCTTTCGAATTGAAATTCATGTTGTTCATTGTATCCGTAGTTGTGAATTGGAGACTGCTGCATGTTTGCTTGATCTTCTGTTCTTGAGAAATAAAAATTCTTTCACGTAAATCAAATCTAAATTTACAAGATTAGAAATTGATATAAAATTCAATTATAGTTTAATTCGAAATAAGATTTATTTAAAAATTGATTTCGCTAGATAAAATTCAAAAGATTAAAATACTCTCTCCATTTTATTTAAAAATGGATGAGGTTTTAGTTCAAATAATTTAAATCTAACACGGAAAATAAATATAAAAAGCGTTTACAAAGATCAAAGAAATAGATTTATCATAACTACCCAAAAAAAAGCACAGTTAATTAATTAATTAGCTAAATATTCATTGGCTTTCATGAGCCTAATCTTTTTCCTCTATTATTTTTAGAGAAAATCGCCTCAGTGACCAAAAATACCTTATAATATACGATTTTAACCAACTTTTTTTGGATTTGCCAAAATGACCAATAAAATCGCAACGCGATATCAAAATCGCAACGCGATTTAGAAAATCGCAACGTTAAAAAGAAAATCGCAACGGTCAAAAGAAAATCGCAACGCGAGCTTCCAAGTTCGCAACGCGATTTAGAAGAAAATCGCAATGCGATTGATAGAATCGCAATGCGATTTATAGAATCGCAATGCGATTGAGAGATTCGCAACGCGATTTAGAAGAAAATCGCAATGCGACTGAGAGAATCGCAATGCGACTGAGAGAATCGCAATGCGATTTATAGAATCGCAACGCGATTGAGAGAATCGCAACGCGATTGAGAGAATCGCAACGCGATTTAGAAAATCGCAACGTTAAGTTAAAAAAATTTTGTTTCTTAAGAATTTTCTCTAAAAAGATAGTATCCGCGCGGACGTGTCGAAGACACGTATTACCACGACCACGACCACGACCACGACCACGACCACGACCACGACCACGACCACGACCCGAGACGAGACGAGACGAGACGGCGGCGGCGGCGGCGCGCGAGAGTCCCCCTTGTCCTCTTTCACTCAACAAGGAAGTGCAAAATACAAGCCTTAAATACCATTCCCAATAGTATTTTCAATACTATGTGGGATTGAGCATTACCAACACTTGTTCCAAATATCATTATTCTTCATAAGTTATCATCCATTACAATATGAATTAGTCGTGCTAATGAACCAATATACCTCATTAATATATGGTATTGTTGAACAAAAGAATGATGATGACGATCTTATTAAAGACCATCTAATACGAAAGAATCCAATGCATAACCGATACCTTATTGTGAAACTAATTCACATAGAGGTTGTACGTGAAAAAAAATCTTTTACTTTTATAGTAAATATCTATCTTAATAATTTTAATATAAAAAATATATTTTTTTATTTAATAATAGAATTATTTCATGTATTTATCAAGTTATAATTTTAAATACTTATTAAAATGAATTAATTTATTATCGATAATTCATATTGTAATGGATGATAACTTATGAAGAATAATGATATTGGGAATAAGTGTTGGTAATGCTCAATCCCACATAGTATTGGAAACACTATTGGGAATTATATTTAAGGCTTGTATTTTGCACTTCCTTGTTGAGTGAAAGAGGACAAGGGGGACTCTCGCGCGCCGCCGCCGTCTCGTCTCGGGTCGGGTCGTGGTCGTGGTCGTGGTCGTGGTCGTGGTCGTGGTCGTGGTCGTGGTAATACGTGTCTTCGACACGTCCGCGCGGATACTATTTTTTTAGAGAAAATTCTTAAGAAACAAAATTTTTTTAACTATTCTTTTGACCGTTGCGATTTTCTTTTTAACGTTGCGATTTTCTAAATCGCGTTGCGATTCTCTCAATCGCATTGCGATTCTATAAATCGCGTTGCGATTCTCTCAATCGCGTTGCGATTCTCTCAATCGCGTTGCGATTCTCTCAGTCGCATTGCGATTTTCTTCTAAATCGCGTTGCGAATCTCTCAATCGCATTGCGATTCTATAAATCGCATTGCGATTCTATCAATCGCATTGCGATTCTATCAATCGCATTGCGATTTTCTTCTAAATCGCGTTGCGAACTTGGAAGCTCGCGTTGCGATTTTCTTTTGACCGTTGCGATTTTCTTTTGACCGTTGCGATTTTCTTTTTTACGTTGCGATTTTCTAAATCGCAACGCGATTTTGATATCGCGTTGCGATTTTATTGGTCATTTTGGCAAATCCAAAAAAAGTTGGTTAAAATCGTATATTATAAGGTATTTTTGGTCACTGAGGCGATTTTCTCTTATTTTTAAGGTTGATATTCAATTTAATAATTACTACATTTACGGTATTTTATGTTTGTATAAATTTTAGTATAATTCTTTTGTTGTTTTCTCGGATTTTTATGACTTCCTCCTTACTTATTCGGATTAATCCAGGTCGTACACTTAAATTTAATGGGTGTCTTCAAACAAAATTTTTTATATATATTAGACTTCAAACTCGAGACATATATAAACGATATCAAATTGTTTATTACTTTTTCATAAAAATGAAATTATTTTGAAATCCAATTTAACTTGCACTATCAAATTTATTAAATCATATACTTTATCGTGTGAATTAATGAGCTTCGGTATGAGTAAATTTGTCGGTCTAAGTGAGTGGATTGGCAATGTGATGAGTTTTGGTCATGGCTTGCTATGCCAATATTGTGTACATTTAATAATGCAATTCAATCTAATTCTCACTCATATAAATCAAATCAAACATATAAAATTAAAATAACACATCGATCTAGTAGAATTAATTGGACCGAATGGTTAAATTAATTGATGTTTTGATCATTTTAATTAATTTAATAATAAATAAATAACGTGATACGTTTTCAAACATTCGTTTTTAGTCGAATTCTAAAAGATATATAGATAGATCAAATTTAAAAAAATATATAGGAGTATATATATATATATATTATGTTCTACACACATGTTTGTATGTTAATGGGTAAGTTAACAATGGCGCTACATATATAAATTTTATCTTCAATCATTCAGTCAATGAATATATATTAAAAGATTATGTTTAAGCATTTGAAAAATATTATCTAATCAATGTGATATATGAAAATGTAAATATAACCTTGATTGAATATTGAATTTTTTAAATGCTTAAACATTTTAATATACACCTAATAAATGATTGAAGAAAGGCTTAATGCACGCTAATTACACTCAGTTCGTGCTCACGTCAACACATATCTATGATACCCGTTTTTCCTTTTTTCTGAATTAATTTGATTTTATTTTTTTCTCTATTACTTTCTTTATTTTGATCATTGAAAATTTGTGTATTACTTAAAATTCAAAAAAAAAAATTTCATAACTACGTATTTCTGAGATCATTCAATGTCAATAAAAGTGTGTAATTTTTTTTTCTCGAGATTTAAGTATCATGTATTAAAAGTGTGTACAATCATCTACGTCTTCTCAAAATTTCAATAAAATGATGATACTTCGATAAATAACTTTTAGAGTACACTATTGTATATATAAATTTCCACGTCAACTTATTTTTTGTTTTTTTGTTTTAATCATCAAATTATTTTTTATAAAATCATCACTAACATTATATATTTTTTATTTAATTAATCATTAAAAATTTAATAATAACGTTAATATAGTATCTTTATAATCTTCACATCATTTTTTTCTCCTCATCAGTAGTCTATATGTTATTTTTTTAAAATAATTTTATTAAATATTTTTATTTAACTGATTCGATCATTACATTATATGTCAAATAAAAATGATATATATTTTTCTTTACTTTTTCCGGTAAAGAAAATGTATACTATATGAGTGTTTGGAAGGAATTCAAACTCTAGAAATTTTGTACGAAGTTTGAACATCTAGTCGGCAGTCTCTAAGGATAGTATGGGTCAGGTCGGATAGGATTTTATTTTAATATGATATGACTCGAAAATTTTATATTTTCTATTTGACTCGAATTTGACCTAATCTTTTGAGATAAAATTCGAACCCGACTTTACCCGATTTGAAATAATATATTTATTAAAAAAATATTATTTTTATTTAATAAAAATAATAATTTAATAAATAATAATAATATAGAGAGAGACATTATTATAATTATCCGTAAATATAAAAGTAAAATTATATGTTTTACTAAGGTCGAGTTGAGTATTTTTATCCCTAAACCCAAACCCGATCCGAACACAACATCTAAAAAATTCCGACCTGACCTAATTTTTAAAAAAAACCGACTAAATCAAATCAAATTTGTTTGAAACCTGTAATATTCGGTCTCGTGCCCATCCCTAATAGTCACTGCCTTAACTTGAACTCCTAAGCAAGCTTTGGAATTTAAAATTTAAATTCCCTCCTCATTACTTATATAATGTATATTTTTAATTTTATTTGATCAATAATTGATATTACGTTTGTCGTATTGAATAAATAAAAATATTAATGTAATTTACCTGTTTTTAAAATAACATATATGGCTATATTAGGCTGTTTCAACGATCCTATTGATAAAATATTAGAAGAAGAAAATAAAACCGGACGAACCGTACATCCGGAAAAAGGCGCGCTTCAAAAACAGGTTTGGCGCCATAAAACAGTCGCAGCAAGTAAAGTGAAACCCCATTTTCTCACAAGCAGTACCGAACGGCGGAGATCGAACGACCTCGATCCTGACCGTGTACAAAAAAAGAAAAGAAGAAACTCGACGAGGATGGCGGAATTAATTTCGCTTATGGATATCGACGAAGACGACAAGCACCAGAAACAAAACGACTCTCAGAAGCTAAACAAGGGAAAAAGCGTCGTCACAGCCACAGATACCAAAGCCAATCCCTGGGTCGAGAAGTACCGTCCTCAGTCCCTCGCCGACGTAGCCGCTCACCGTGACATTGTTGACACCAGTAATTCCCTTTCTCTCTTTCCTAGGGTTTTCAAAATGTATTTCCACTTTATTTGGTTTATTTTTCTTCTTGTTCAAAAAATTTTACAATGATTATAGGGCTAAAAAAGGAATTCATTCCAGGAAAGTGAGGAACATAATTAGTTCGAGATTTCAAAATTTTCGTATTCATCTTTCATAATTGTTAGTAAAAAAGGTTAAAATAAACAGTCTGTTTAGTTACTCAATGGAAGGAAATTTGATGATGTCGTACTCGTTTTTTTTTTTACAAATTATTTACTCTGCTTTTGTTGGTGTAAAATAGTTGATAGGCTTACAAGCGAGAACAGATTGCCGCATCTTCTATTGTATGGTCCTCCCGGAACAGGCAAAACATCCACCATTCTGGCTGTTGCACGGAAACTTTATGGAGCACAGTATCATAATATGATTCTCGAGTTGAATGCTTCAGATGATAGAGGAATTGATGTTGTTAGGCAACAGATTCAAGATTTTGCTAGCACCCAAAGCTTTTCATTTGGGTAATTTCCTTTTGATGTGTGCTATTGATCCATCATTGCTTATATTATGCATCACCTTGACAACCACCACCCGCTATTTATGAATTTGGAACTGCAGAAGTTTTTTTTAGTTGTTTAAATTCATTTGCTCTCTTGTATTGCTGCTGATATTGGGCAGACATTTTTTACTATATTTTCATAATTTATCCTTTTTTATCATTAGGCTTCAATAAATGCTTTTGCAAAGGTAACCCATTGGTGATTAATATTGAGGTTTTTTCAGGGTGAAGTCATCCGTAAAGTTGATTTTACTTGATGAGGCAGATGCTATGACAAAGGATGCCCAATTTGCCTTGCGTAGAGGTATAATTTTCTTTGACCGAATTCATTTCATTGGCAAGTTATTATTATGTTCCTTTTTGTAACTACATTTTTAGTGATTGTCTGCAGTTATTGAGAAGTACACAAAGAATACTAGGTTTGCACTGATATGTAATCATGTCAACAAGATCATTCCCGCACTACAGTCCAGATGTACTCGGTTCAGATTTGCACCTCTTGATCCTATTCATGTCTCTGAGCGACTTAAGCATGTTATCGAGGCTGAAGGGTAAGTATTCTGTTTCCTTTTGCCATTCATTTGTGTTGTGCTAAACATTGGGTTGGAGTGAAGTGTTTCTAATTTAAGTGTTCTTTTATTTGGAAAAAAGTGGTGGAGGTGAGTTTCAATGTTGGTGATAAAAAGTTAATTAGAATGCAAGATAAGTCTTGCTTATAGTTTTACCTGTGGTTCTTTTTTTGTCAATGCTGATGGACGATGTATGCACATGAGATACAAAAAATGACTAAAAATGACTTATTTTTCATTTTTCTGCTAGTTAAGCTAGAGCTTGCCTTTTTGAGCTAGGCTCATGCTGGCATAAATATCGAATCATCATAGATTGAAAGTTCTATGGTGTAGCTTTATCAAGCCATTTGTTCTTGTATTAGAGTTGTTAGAAAGTGATAAATCTGTGCCTTTGCATATCTCATATGGACTCACCTTTTGTTCTTTGGATCTTATCTTTGAATCTTTCTTCCGAATACCATTACAATGATTTTGCTTCATTGGACCAGGCTTGATGTAACTGATAGTGGCTTGGCAGCACTAGTACGGCTTAGCAATGGTGACATGAGAAAGGCTTTAAACATTTTGCAGGTATTTAAACCACTTACTCATATTACTCTTGCATAAATTGGTGTACAATAATAGTCACTTGTTTAAGAAAGACAAATGACAGGTTGGCATTGATCTGTTCTTTGCTTTGTAGCAGAAGTTGTGTTACATTACCATATGATCTCATTGTTCTTTAGAGGAGCTATTTTTGTCTAATTTACACTTGGTGTGTTAGGTTATGTGATTGCTGTTTTAGGTGATGTCAACACTAGTTTTAATGAATAGGATACCTTTTTTTTCTCATTTGGGGAAGGGGATTTAAAGCTAGCTTTTAAGGTTGGGAATCATACACTTCTCTCTGAATCAAATGCTCAAGTGCATGAAGAAATATACTTTATTTTCATTATTGAGGGGGATTTTGGATAGTAAGATGCTTATTGCTTCTAATGTGGTTAGTACTATTCATGAATAGGAAAGAGTAGCATTGTTAATAATTTCTTTGCCACATGCAGTCAACACACATGGCTTCTCAGAAGATTACAGAAGAAGCCGTGTATCTCTGTACTGGAAATCCATTGCCTAAAGACATTGAGCAAATATCTTACTGGCTTCTGAATGACTCGTTTGCTGAGAGTTTCACACGTACTTATCTTAATCTCACTGTTTGTTATGCAATTAATAAAATGGTTTTCTTTAGATCAACCTTTTAACACGATATCTTTATTTTGTTATTAACTCTCTGTAGGAGTTTCTGAAATGAAGACAAGAAAAGGATTGGCCTTGATTGATATTGTGAGGGAAGTGACTATGTAAGTGCATGTCTCTTTAACTTATAAAAGGCTACCCTTTAAAATTTTCTGGTTGATATTCATTCACTACTCTTTTTAACAGGTTTGTTTTTAAGATTAAAATGCCCTCAGATGTTCGAGTTCAGTTAGTTAACAACTTGGCAGACATAGAGTAAGTACTTGTATCTGCTGCTGCTCTCAACTCACATACAACACAAAACATGAATAATTCATAAATGGTTGATGTTTTAAATGATAAAATAAAGCCAAGATATCGAGATGTTAAATAATGAATGTATCATAAAACTGGTTATGATTATAAAAGAGGAACCATAAACAATAAAAGTACCTGCAAAAAGTACCTGCAAGGTAATTTGGTAAATAAGCAGTATTTATCATTTACTTTTTATATAACTTAAGACTATTTTATTATATCTCAAGTTGCGTGGTTTGGGATTCTGTTTATTCTTACCCTAATGAGGTTTTAGAGCCATTATGTGATATTATTTATTGTTGCTAGTCACCACATTTGAGATGACACTTTTCCTTTACTCGGGCTATTTGTTGGCTGTTGTAATGGGTTTTGGGTTTTCCCCCCACTGGTAAAGTTGTTGAACATTTTAATTGGGGCCAGAATATGGAAAGAACGTTGCTCATCAACATAAATATACTTCATAATAGATAGTAGATTGAAGAATAACTGACTAGTAGATGATATGCAGTTCCTGTAAAAAAGAACTGTTGGATTCATTTTTGGAATCATGAAAGAAATGTTAATTAAATATCTGTTTGTATGTATTTGTGAACATATGGCTGATAGTGTATAATGGGTGTGAATTGTGGAATGTTTATCAGATAGTAGCTAATGGTATCAACCTGTATGTTTTATCGTTTGCAGGTATCGTTTGAGTTTTGGGTGCAATGATAAATTGCAACTGGGATCTCTCATTGCTACTTTCACGCAAGCTAGATCTGCTCTCGTTGCTGCAGCAAAGTAGCTTTCTGTAAAGCCTGGCCTCATTTCTTCTTCTCATTAGGCATTTCAGATGTTGTCCCGTTAGCTTTGTTTCTTGTTTGCTTGTGATTGAGTAAGTAAAGTGAGTAGCATCATTTTCAGTTAGGAAAGTCGGGACAAAAGAAACAAAGGGTAATGCAATGAAGTGAGGCAAAAGTGATTCCTAATTTAATGTACTCTTATCACATCAATAGGGGATGCAAAGTGAATGTTAGGGTTGGCGGTTGATGGTTTCCTCTTTCCATGTATTGATGATATGTTGTTAATTAACTTTTTCAAGCTTTGATTCTCATTTTTCCCTCAAGCTTTTACATTACAAATTGAACCGGCATATTTAACAATAAATTGGTGACTTGTTTGCATTAAAACATCGACAAAAATAGGGTTCTAATGAATAAGTGAAAAATCGACTCAATCGATTAAAATTAATTTTGAATATGATTTTGGAGGAAAATATTAAAATTAATGTTTTAATATCTTGATTATATAAAAAATCACTGTCAAAGGTTTGAAATCTATTGTTTAAAGATGTCTTAGTCGACAGCTAAACTATGTAATTCAATTTTTTTATGTTTGATAAAAGAAATATTAATACATCTAAAAATAAAATAAAATTTAAATCTTAAAAATAATATTATTATGAGAAACAACCATCAATTCAGACAATCAATTTCCAGAACTTTAAGTTAAAAGAAATACAATGTGATACATATTTGTGTTGGAAGATACAATATTTTATTACATTAAATTCTTTCTTAGTTTTTATTATCTACACTGTATATTTTATTACATTTGAAAGTAATACATAATCATTTAATTAAATTACTAAATTTGAAATTTATATTTATATGTAATGGAAACATATTTGCATGTGATAAATATTTTAAAAATAATTATACTGTCGCCATTTAACAAAGCAGCACTTTGTGCTAAGATGGAGATGCCATTTTCATAACATTTTTTGCAATGCCATAATCCTTTGACAAGACTAAACTCGCTAGTCCTTGAAGACTGAACTGTACAAAATGAAACTTTTACTTCCTACACTTGGGGAAGCTCTTCCATTCCTCCTTTTTCATGGCATCAATTTATAGACATTTTATACTTTACATCTTCGTAAACCATTTACCACAAAAACTGGACCTTTTGACAGATATATATCATACTTAAAAGCAAGCAACCGCAAACCCCTATTATATTTCTCCTGTAAATTTCATCTTGATTCCATTGTGGTCGCTCGTAAAGAAATGAACTTTTAAATCCACTATATGCTTTCATCATTTTCTGTTCTGTTGGACCAGATTATCTCGATCTCAAGCGTTCTGGAAGACCCATCTTTGCTGCTATCATGATTCAGGCCGAATAAACCACTGTATACTCCTTCTGTGACGACTTTGTCGATCTGAATAGTCACTCTTCCAAGGGTTGTCTGTTAAAAACCAACATCTCCCATCAGAAATCAGAAAGCAATACGACAATTTGCCAAAGATATAAATATGTAACTATTAGCACTTCTTTATGCACTGCAAAAGGAAAATTGTTCGACTAAGAACACCCAAGTATAACCGCATTGAGGTTGCAGTGATTTAGCCATAGTGTATTCAGCATAGGAATCTCATTTACCTTCCCAAAAGTATTTTTACTTTTACAAATGATATGAAGTTTTTGTCCCTTTGGAGGCACATCAAAAGCCCAAGTGAAGCCTTCTTTCCATTCAGGACTAGTACTGTGGTTCACGACCTGATCATAGCACAAATCCATTAGTGTTAAAGTCTGTGGTCATTAATAATATATATTTAAAAAAAATGCAATCAGCAAGGCAAGGGTAAAATGATTAAATTTGCATTTTCCATCACATAAGATGTGTCTGATACAGTGTGGAAAGTTTTACAAAAAGAACGAAATTCTGGATATGCTAAAAAAAATTCATCTACATGAATGGCATTGAAAATAATTTGATGAATAAACGACTGAGAAACACCGACTTTCTTGATAAATCTATACCTGCATACTTCAATTTTTTTAACCTAACAAGGTGGGGTATATTCATACATGCCATAAATGGCTCATATAAAGTCGCAAATTCTGAAGCCATCAAATAAAATAAGAAAGGATAGTATTCCAAAGGCTCTATTTTCTATTGCCTGGCCTGGCATATGGAAATTAATGCAAAATGGAACCCCGTAACTAAATCAGAAAAGGAAAAGGCACCTCCATGCATAAGGAACGAGCTACATTCATATGACCATATACCCAAATATAGGTACAATGTAGATGGTTTACTTTCCAACTGACTTTTAAATAGAAACTGTTACCTTGGTTTGTCGGGGAGGACCATTTCCTATTGTCAATCGGCAAAATGCATTTGTGGCTCCCATGGCTTGCTTTAGGTTGTTACCACGCTTGATGGTAACAGTCAAAGACCCTGGTAAGCAGTGCAATAGGCTGTCTGCTCTCTCGTGGAAACTGGGAGGACAAGTTTTCATCAGCATTTGCAAGATAGGAATTGCTTCAGCTGAGATCATGGACTGAGATCTTGCAATTTCGATTGGCATGGTTGACCAAGAATGTTTTAACAAGCACATGGTATCTAACACAGATTCCTGGGCACCCTCGCTCCCTGACTTTAGTGCTCCTACTAGATGGGGAATACATAGGGTAGCTGCTTCAGAGATTTGGAGCTTGGGAAAGTTGGTGAATATCACGTTTAATGTTCTCAAGACTTCTTCATTTATAGTCGCAAGAGACCACAATTCTCTCTCAAGGGCAGCTGCACGACAATGATTACACATTTCATCATTAATTGCAATGCTGAGAACCAATAGAGAGGAAAAGACTCATTTTGATATTGCATGTTGGCTAGAAGTTTTTTTAAGTGTAGTAAAACGAGCCATATATAGTAGATGAACTCCATATAGAAATGAATAGTGCCGAGTTTCATACATATATGTGGAACGTTCCTCCTTTTTTCTTTCTTTTACTAACAATAATTTCAATTAAAACAAAAAGAATAAATACACATCTCAACGCTTCGAACTGAAACGAAAAAATTATAAAAGGAAAAAGCTTTTGCAATGTTATATCACCTGTCAAAGATCTGATGAGCTCGTTTGATACGTATTCTTGAAGCGTGTGGTTAGAAAATAAGAATTTGATCAGCAGTGCTGCCTGAGAAGCTACTTCTACATTAGGAGAAAGTAAAAGTTCCTGGATTACTAATATGCCACCTGCTTCAGCAACAGCACGCCTATTAGTTCTACTCCGCATGACAAAGTTCTGCAATGCACAAATTGCAACCGTTTTCATGTCTTCTGTTGGCTGATCTTCAAGCAAGCTTACAAGTGCACGACATGCAGAAACAGAATCACTGGCTCTAGCATGTTCTTCATGCTGGGAGAGGTTCCCGAGAGCTAAAGTTGCAAGGAGCCTGCCAGCTTCTGATCTTGTCTGTGGGTCTAATAGATACTGTGCTAAGGGTGCAATTGCGTACTTAGAAACCTTCTTCTTTCGTACCCTTACATTGTTAAATAAAGCTTCAAGCAGTCTGCCAGAAGCTTCTTCACACTGGTGAGATCGTAGTAGATCCAATAATGCATCTATAGCTCCAGCTTCAGTCATCTGTTCAACACTTGAAGGATCACTCCTTTCATGGACAATTAAGGCATTGAGAGCCACAGTAATGGTGCTCTCCTCCGTGGAGTGCAACATTCTGACCAGAACTATTAAAGGAGCTTTGAAATAGTACTCCGCATTGAAACGCAGAACGTTAGAGAGAACAAAAGCAGCTGATTCCCAAAGCGCACGAGGAGGCTGAGGCTCATCTTGAATGATGACCTTTGAAAGCTCAAAAATACCTCCAGCATCAGCAACTGCCTTCGGCCAACTAGCAGAGATCTTTTCCAAAGCTTTAACTGCTGTTTGCTGCAGATTCAATATTCCAATTCCAGCAAGCTGCACCAGCGGCACAACTGCATTTTTTGTCGTGATGTCTTGCTGAAAATGTTCCTGTGCAAGAAGATGAGTCAATAATTCTGTTCCGAGCTGCTGAATAGCTTGAGAAGGTGATTCAAGAAATGAAATCAGAGGCTCAATGACTTGACTGGGAGTCAATTTCAGAGTTGCAAGGCTTTGCGGCTTCTCCAAGATATTTACAAGTGCTTGCAAGGCACTGTGTTGTCCCCACAAACCAAAATCTGGACGAAGTAAAACCATGAAAAGAGGCTCGATTATTTTTGCAGCATCTGAACTTCTAGCAATAGCGTTACTATTTGTCAGAATCCGGAACAACTCAGCAATTGAGGAGCACAATGAACTGGATGCAAGAGGGAGTACCTCAAGACAATTATCAATAACACCAGCTTTGACCATGACTGATTTGAGCGGCGTGCGGTCTTTCCCCAACTTTATGAGTGCACATATGCTGGCCTCAATAAGTTGATGGTTGCTTCCGGAAACCAAGCCAACAAGGAGATCCACAATGTCATATGCAGCTGCAAGCTCCACCTGCTGCTCATCATCCAACAATCTCTCAAAAGCATAGACTCCAGACTCCACTGCAGTACTAGCATCAGACTGCATAAGAGAAATAAGGGGCTGTATGCATTCAGAGGCTATAGGATCTCCTCTAATTTTAGTATTACCAAAGAGAACAAAACAAAGTTGTGCAGCATTTATTTTCAGTTCCAAAGATGAAGCCGAAGTTAATATGTTGTAAAGACTCTCGAGTCGGTTTCCTTCTACATCAGTCATTAAAGCTGCTTTTGAAGCATTCCTGGAAGTCAACTTGATCAAGGCAACAAGAGCAGCCTCTTGCTCACTCTCAGATGCAGCAGACAACATGTCAACCAATGGTTGTACAGCCTGACTGGATAACTCAGAATCTACAACATTTTCAGCATAAAAAATTTGATGGAGAGCCCTCACAGCACTGAACCTGGCACTTTTAGAACCCAGGCGCAAAACAGCTATAAGTTGATTCAAGGAGCTAAGTGATGCTTCATATTGAATAAGTTCCTGATTTCCAAATAATATCCTGAGCAATTCACATATATCAGCCTCCGTTGAGTCTTGAGGGCTCAAAGACAGATATTTTGTTAAAGCATCAATAGCTCCAGCTTCCCCCATGATTAATTTATTAGCATCACTTCCATCTGCAATGCAGGTTAAGAGTTGAACAGCAATCGGAGGGGCTCCAGGCCTATCTGGT